GGGACAGAGGTGCAGAGGATGTGTGTTACGTACTTTGGTTTTGCGTACCGGACTTTTCCGCAGTTTTCTCCGGTTTCAGGTTGATCTTGTTCAAACACATTCATGATGTTGTAGTTGTTGTAGTTGTTGCTGTTGTCGTCGTCCCTTTTCCTTCTTGTGTCGCTGGATTCGGAGTCTTCAGATGAACTCTCAGTGGACGTAGACGAGTCTTCTCCATAATTCCCGTCGACCCACTCCCAGTCCGTCCCCGTGTTCTTCAGGCCAAACCAAGCGTGGAAGGATTTTGTATTAACCTCAGATATGTCACTCTCTGTCAGCACGTTGGCCAGAGAAGCGTTGTGTTCCCTAAAATACAAGAGAAGTTCCCAAAGCCAAAGAAGCAGACCACAGTCCAATGAGGTTCATTTGGTCCTCCGATAATTGATGTTGTTAGGTTCTTTTTTTCAGACCTGACAGTTTGGACACCTCCCTGCGGTCTTCCTCGGATAACATGTTCACATCAAAAAATCAGAGCGTTCAGGAGCCAAAAAGTTGGTTGATCATCTACGTCTCCTCTGCTTATAGACACGCAGACTTCATTTATGTGACACTTTTTTATATTAAGAAAATGTAGTTGCAAAAGTGCACACGAGGGAACCACAGAAAAAACTAAACTGATCTCAAAATTAAAGCAGTGAAAAACTTGAGCTAAATTTATTAGAGCCTAGTATATGTCAATAATTCATAATGGAGAAAAAATAAACAGTGCATTTTGGTTCATCTCTGTGTTTTGAGTTTTATTTTTATTTATCACACATAATCCTGTCCCAAACCACTGTGATGCACCAAACATTTGTCACCATAAATTTCTGACATACTCTAGGCTCTAATAAAGTTAGCTCAAGTTTTACTCTTTTATTTTTGAGAATATCAATTTATATCTTTTTGTTTTCTTTCTATATATTTTTTTTTACTTTTTTGTTTACTTTGGGTGTTCTTTTATGGCCCTGTCATATAAAAATAGACCCTGCAGGTTTATGAGGAGGAGTTTTGTGGCCATTTAAAAATGGGAACCCTCAAGGATTTCTAAAATGGCAAACGTGGCCTAAATTTGAAGATGACCAACATTTTAATGTCAGAGTGAGGAGCCCGACAGCAGCAGTTACAGGAAGACCACATTTTTTACACACAAACTGAATTGGAGCCAGAGTACGTGGAGCTGAATCGCATCCAGGCTCACTTCCTGTTTGGAACACGGCGGGTTAAGCAAGTAAGTCCACTGATAACTGCACATACCTCCTGCAGAACTTATGGGCCTCCTCCCATGTTCTGGGTCTGCTGTTGTACCAGTACCACCTCCTGATGACAGAAGACTGCACTGGACCTGAGCCGAGCCAGAGGAAGAGGAGGAAGAGGAGGAAGAGGAGAGGCTGCTGCTCCATCACCTGCTCACAGAAAACACAGAGAAGAGACGTTTACGCTGAGTTCACAGCATCAAAACGGCACCAAACACGTCTCGAGAACCGCTCCTTTCTAACCCAAACGGACACGTGGCCAAAAAAGATTTACAATTATGAGTTTTATCATATTATTTCAAAAACGACCTTCAGTTACAGATGTGAAATTTTAATCAAGTTTAAACTAGAATGAGATTTTCTGTACAATGTCAGCTGTGAAACTGCACCATAACCTGCTTTACCAGTGAGAAAACTTCTAACTTTCTTCAGTTTCAGAATTATCCAGATTATCACGATTTTTCCAAATCTCTTTGATTAAACCACAAACGTCCAGACCCACGTTCCTCATAGACTTTAAACCCAACGCCCCTGAAAACCAGAACAGAACCAAAACAAAACCAGAACAGAACCAAAACAAAACCAGAACAGAACCAAAACAAAACAGAAAAGAACCAAAACAAAACCAGAACCAAAACAAAACAGAAAAGAACCAAAACAAAACAGAACAGTTCGTCGTCGTGTTCTCCCCTTGGTTCTCCCCTTGGTTCTCCCCTTGGTTCTCCCCTTGGTTCTGTTTGGAGCAGATTGGTCGGGTCTCCTCTGTCTGAAGTGACCCCGACCTGTCTGAGGCTCTGAGGTGGACCTGGGGGAACCTCCCAAAGACCTCCTGTCCTCTTCAGTTCTGGTCCAGTCCAGCTTCAGGAGGAATTAGGACCAGAGGAGATGATCGGACCAGAGAGAACGAAAACTCAAGCCAAACCAAGACGTGGATATAAACAGAGAATAAAACTGTCTCACTAAACACAGACTAAACCAGGACTAAACCAGGTCTAAACCAGGACTAAACACAGACTAAACCAGGTCTAAACACAGACTAAACCAGGACTAAACACAGACTAAACCAGGACTAAACCAGGTCTAAACACAGACTAAACCAGGACTAAACACAGACTAAACCAGGACTAAAACAGGACTAAACCAGGACTAAAACAGGACTAAAACAGGACTAAACCAGGACTAAAACATGACTAACTGTGCCAAAGACCTTTAAAGCTCTGAAGACCAGATCTAGTCCAAACATGACTTTTTTAACTCCCTGCACTAGAGAAAACGGTCTGCTCCTGTCGCTGCTGTCTGCTCCTGTCGCTGCTGTCTGCTCCTGTCGCTGCTGTCTGCTCCTGTCGCTGCTGTCTGCTCCTGTCGCTGCTGTCTGCTCCTGTCGCTGCTGTCTGCTCTGTCTGCTCTGCTCTGTCGCTCTCGTGTGCTCCTGTCACTCCACTCACCTTCAGCGTTCTCGTCTCAGTCTGAATGCAAAAACACGGAGCTGTGGAACTGCAGAAAAAGAAATCAATATTCAAACTGTGTCTGTCTCATTACGACGTGAAGACATTTGACTAAGAAATAATAATTTACATCAGGACCAAACTGGGACTAAACCAGGACCAAACTGGGACTAAACCAGGACCAAACTGGGACTGAACCAGGACCAAACTGGGACTAAACCAGGATCAAACTGGGACTGAACCAGGATCAAACTGGGACTGAACCAGGACCAAACTGGGACTAAACCAGGACCAAACTGGGACTAAACCAGGACTCAACCAGATCAGGACCAAAGCTGGATTAGAAGTCACTTGGAGGCAACTTTATCCACACTTTTATTCCTTTATCCGAGTTGTTATTTCTGCTCTCTGCACTTTATATTTTGCACCATCATCAGTTACAAAAAACAGCACATTTCTTTTCTTGTTGGAAATGTGTCGTCTTTGTCTGTCTGTCTGTAGATTTTGTGTTTATTAGGCCCGGGCGCCATGGCTGGCGTAGGGCCTGTTGTTATTGTTGAGGCGTGTGAAGCGCTGCAGGAAGGCGTGCGCACACGGGTGTAGCTGTAGCGGGCGGACACACAGAATTGAACTTAAAGAGCCCATATTACTCTATTTTCTGATGTTCTGTTGTTTCCTCATCACAAACAGACCTGGAGAAGGTGTTGGGAAAGTTCATTTTCTACATCAACTAGTTCAAAGTTCAGTTCACACATTTTAAAATGAAAATGTTTTTTTCAATACGTTGCTGCGAGCGATTCTTTTGAAATAACATTGCCAAAGCCCAAATAGAAGCACAGACAGCATTTATTTGATCAGTTTGAACCATGAAACTCTGTGTTACATCGGGTGACCGTATTTCCGTTGGTGAAAACCCGGACACGTCACCGGGGGTGGGAGGTGGGGCCTTGACATTGAGCTACAATCGTCCCTCACTATATCACGGTTCACCTTTCATGGATTGTATTATTTATTTATTTATTTTTTAACACACGGGTGGGTCAGGACTAAACCAGGCCTAAGCCAGGACTAATCTTGGACTTAAGAGAGAGAACGTCGAGCAGTTTGTCCGTAAAGCGCGGTTACACCCTTATCATCATAAGGCCCACTAGTCAGAAAGCCCACTAGTCAGAAAGCCCACTAGTCAGAAAGCCCACTAGTCAGAAAGCCCACTAGTCAGAAAGTCCACTAGTCAGAAAGTCCACTAGTCAGAAAATCCTTCCCTCTTCTGTTGGTTTGTCAGCAACATTTCTCTTGAACAATTGAATGTTTATTTGATGAAAGCAACAGGGAATAATCCCTGGATCAGGGAAGAATTAGTTAAACTTTTGGATGTTTATCAATTAAAAATGACTGCAACATCAACATTTTTAGAGATATTGACAGGAAAACACATAATCATGAGTAACAGCATTAGTTAAGACCAGCAGTACTTAATGTGTTGGTTTACAAACCCACCAATGCTTTATTAAAAGAAAAAGCTTTAAAATAAAATTGAAATGAAGGTTGTAGAGCTCAACATTTTGCAAGTTGTTGCCTGAAAATCAGACAATTATTAACCCTGTTCCACTTAAAACTTAAGCCATTTCCACCCAAATCATTATTTCCTCAAACATTTTTGCTGCATTTTAAGGGTTTAATATATTTTATTACTTTTAATGTTTACTTTTTAAAATATTTAAAACTTGAAATACAATTTCATTTGTAACAATTTGTAACACGACCTGAACATGGTTTTTATGACTAGAGGATCTTCTGATGAGACTGACCCCGTACAGGTTGATCGGGAAATTGCCGCTTAATCTCCGTGAGGTGTGGAGCTGAGCCGGTCCTTTCTCCTACAGTCACCACCGAGCCCATCCCGACAGTGAGTCCTGGTTCAGTCCTGGTTTAGTCCTGGTTCCTGGTTTCAGTCCTGGTTCAGTCCTGAGTTAGTTTGAGTTCAGTGAATTCTGGAATTTCAGTAAACATGTACAGTCACACAACTTGTTTTCAACAAAGTCACATCACACAAATTGTGCAGTTGTCAATACATACTTTGTATTTGAACTTTCCTACATGAATTGTAATTAAAGTACCTAAAACCCCGAGATAAGTCTGTTGCGTTGTCTTCTTTCACGTCCGACAAAGCGATTCTCTTGTGAAACCTCCGTAACCCGAGAGCTTTCCCCTCTGCGGGGGTCGACGGTGGGGCTTTCCCCACGTGTGCGCGCGGGAGTCGCCGGGGGCCCCGCATCCGGTCGAGCCCTGGTTGCTTGTCCCTCTTCTGGCGATTGTCCCCTGGATCAACCGCGACCGCTCTCCTCTTCACCCTGCTCTCTGGAAGTGGAAGCGCCTGATCGGGTGGAGCCGGGCCGGAACCTTCACGCGTCGGTGCATCGGGTTTAATCTTCTGTGCTGCGGCGGCGGGCTTGATCTTCTTGCGGTTCGCTCTGCTCGGGAGTTTGCTTGGGTTTGTGGAATCTTGAGTTTTTGGTTTTGGTTTGCCTCGGCGCGGTGCAGATGCAGTCTTTTCTTTTACTTTCGCAACCTCTTGTTTGGTCTTCAGGGAATTATTGAATTATCTCCTGTAAAAAAGTAAACTTGTATAAACAGGTGCACTATAACTTTCCTGGCACAAGGTCGACTCTGTCCTTTTCTTTAACCTGGAATGTTGCACTGTACGGCATTACAGGCTTCATTCATACTGACACGAAATAAATCTGATACAAGTCACACAGGTGTGCAAAAACATTTACTGAAATCTGATTTGACCTGAAGTGTGAACGTGGCCATAGCGACAAATATTTCAGACTTTATTACAGGTGTTTTTATTTGTCAGTGAATCCACAATTTGACCTCCAAGTTGGCCGTGTTGTGTCTCCTAAGACTATATAGTGGAACTAGGTGTGTCAAATTATCGCGTTAATTGCCATTAATTAATTACAGTCATATTTAGTGAAAAATCTGAAGATTGCATAAAACTTCAGGTTACTCATAAACTGTTAGTGCTGCGCTTTACTTTGTGGAAAGTGTTGTTTACTGTTTACAAGGATTTTTTTTTTTTTATATTTCATACATTTGTTGCTTAGTTGAGAATATTTGATTTAATGTATTAGTATTACCAAGCACTTTGTTCCCATACTGTATCGAAAATGAACCGAACAGTGACCTCAAAACAGAGGTACATACCAAACCATGATTTTTGTGTACCGTTCCACCCCAGTTATGACATCTTTATTGTAATTATAAACGTCTTAACTAAAGCATAAGAACGTTAACTGTACCAGGCTGGAGTTCAGCCTGTGCTTTGTCCTTGGAGGCCAGAGCCAGCTCCAGGGCCATGCTTTCACTGTTCAAGCGGTTCTGCATGGCACTCAGCTCCTCCTAAAAACACTTACACTTGGTTAGGACTTGATTGGGACTCCCTAAAGTCTTGGGGGTTAATGTTCCAGGTCAATCAAAGCTACCGAATGGGCCACAAACCAGGAAGATGTTTGGAAACACGCAATGCCAAGTTCTGGTGTAGTTCCTGACACTGGACTCGCCAACTGACTGAACAAACCCACTGAAGTAAATGTGCAGTAAAATGAAGAGTGCAGACGTATGTGCTGTTTGGAATCATCTGGAATTTGGCGCCTCATCTCTTCTAATCACATGCACCCAGTGCACTCGGAGTTTTGTGTCAGCGGGGAAATGATGAAAACTGAGGGATGGTTGGAACTGTTGATGAGCCGAACAGAACGGAATGCTACAATGACATGGAGATGAAGAAAACTGGAACATGTTCTCATTTTTCCTAGATTTTACTACCACGAACAGAGCCCCCGGAAGTTGTCATCACATGTGTCCAAAAGTCTGGTTTGTGAATAGAGCCTATTTTGTGCTGTACAGTGCTGTTTTTTTTTTTTTTTTTTTTTCCATGGAGAGTGAGTTCATTTTATAATCAGCAGACATAATTACAGAAAATATTAAGGTTCAGAGACGTTTTGTGATCCGTTAAATACAGTTAACCAATACCCTTAAAAAAAAAAAAAGAAGGCCCAGTTAGACAGTCTATCCCAAAACCCCATCTTACCTGTTCCCAGGGGAGGTGCTCGGGGCTTGAGTTGGCATTAGTCTCCTCTAGAATAGCCAACGCTACTCCATAGCTCCCTCAAAGAAAGATTTTCCCCACTTTTTTAACACTGTTGTTGTAGTCAAGACCGCACTAAATTGAGACCAAGACCTGTCGTGTCGGGGACCACAGGGTCACAAGACCAAGACCACGGCCCATTGAGACCAAATCAAGACCAGCTTTGTAATTTTCAACAGTTATTTGGTGTATATATTTTAAATATATATAAATATATATATATATATATATATATATATATATTTTTTTTTTTTTTATTCATCTCCATTTTATCACTGGTCAAGTGAGACCAAGACAAGAGGCTGGTCTCGAGTACGACGACACTACACAACACATTCAATCTTGACTAAAGAAATTCAAATATGTGTGAAAAAATATATATTAAAACCAAAGCTGAGTTTGTTTTCTGTATCACTTCAGGTCTAAAATTTGCTTTGTCTCGTCAAAAAAGTCGAGACCTGGCAGCTCAGATGAACAGGACAACAGTGTGTGGGTTGCCATGGTTGCAGTATGTCAAGTCTCCATCTCCAGACACAAAGTCGAGCTTTTAGGATTCCTGTCAACTACAGTCTCTTCTCTTTCACACGAAAAGAAAACATGAGGATGAGATGTTCACCTGCAGGCGCTTCAGCTCCTTGTCCTTCTTCAGCCTGTGCAGAAACTCCAGGCCGGCCGGCGTCAGCTCATTACCCTTCATCCCCTTTAACATGGACTCTGGATCACTGGACGTGTCTACAACGTTAAATAGATGAAATTACACTTCTATTACCTGCTAACACAGAACACTTAGATGACCATGACCACGTTTACGTGAGGTTTTTGAATTCCAAATTAATTGTTCTAGTTAGGAAATAAAATGTTCCCTTTAAGTTTACATGGAAAACACGTTAAATCGTCTTTATTTAATTCAGTTCAGTGTCTGGGGGTGGGGAAGGTTCTGATTGGACAGAGACACCAAAGTATTTATGTCGACCGGAAGAAAACACACACTTCAGCTGCTACTGGCATTTCTGTCATCTAGGTTTGTCGTGACGTCACGGACACAAACACCATCCAAACTTTTTTCATGGTTGTTCCGATGATAATTCTGGAGAATTCTCTCATCATGCTTTATGTCTGTCAGTTGAGGAGGAGAAGGGAAGAATGTTGGAGAAGAGAGAAGACGACAAAGTGAGTGTGAGGCTGTTCTACCTCAGCCCACTCCCACATCCCGCTCACAAATCCAAAGAGACGTGGAGGAAAGTCCGAAGCCGGGACTGGTGGAGCCAGAATTATTTTTAAGAAGAATAGACATTTACCTGATCCAGGAATAAAATTAATTCAGCTTTAAAATCAGAATAAACCACCCACTTTCTTTGGAATTAATTCCTAATGAAAATTATTATTTGGAATTAAACTAAAGTCTTTACATTTTTACCTCTTAGGACCCAAACTCTTGCATGGCTTTAATGATTTCTCTTATGTTATTTGGGCTGAATGGGACTTGAAGAGTGCAAAAACAAACTATTATATTTTTATATTTATATGTCCACATACGATATATAAAATATTAATTTGATGTTTTAATAATTTTGATGGAACACAATGAAGTCACAACTGAATATTGACTGGCAAAAACTACTAAGTGCTTGAACAACCAACAAATGTGTTTTTTTAATCAGAATTAAATTATTTTTATTCAGAATTAAAGCTCTCAGGTAAACGTGGCACATGTTATGTTTGTTGTTGTGAAACTGAAATCCACTAATGGAATAGGCCCAGATACAAAAAACACTTCTCGTCTCCATGGAGATGCTATTGTCTTGCCTGGAATGTTCCACAGTATATCTCTTATGCATTTTTATTTATTTTTTTCAATCACAGTTGTATATTTCTCAATCATATCAACATGTACTCTTACTTCTGGGGGGGCGCTCTCCACAGATCTGACCTGGAACTTGGAATCATCAGACTCTGTTTCCACACAGACACGTTTAAGAAGGCAACTGGCTGATTTCTAGCTTTTTTTTTTTGCCATAAACTGCCTGTATTAGGCCCAGAAGTGACATCACATTCAAGGAAAAGCACTAACATCTCCATGGCGACAAGCAGTAGATGTCCCAAAAAGTCACTTAATGCACCTTTATGTTCCGTTCAAAAATATAGAAAGTTTATAATGTTGTGCCGTCACTATTGTTGAAAGGAGGAGTCTTGAAGTCAAATGTCATGTTCATGCTTGTAGTTTGGTTTTCTTCATCGTGAATCTATTTTTAAAAAAATTTAAAAAGTCAAATCAAAATCTAAAATTTTATTGCAAAATGTGTGTCGAGTCACTGTACCTGCGCAGGTCGGTGTGGGGATTCACTTTCAATATCCAGGTGCCTGACACAGTCCTGAGACGGAGGAGGTCTGTACCCGAGTAACTGTCGGCCCAGAGGAATAAAGTTTCCTTTGTCATCACTGTACAGAAGATACGAGGGTCTGCTGATGGACATGCTGAGGTGGAGGAACACAAGAGGAACTTATGAGGAACCTAGAAGAACCCTGAGAAGCAGTGTCTTCTTTTCTTCTCTCCTCACGTCTCTGGATGAAGCAGGTGCTCACAATCACAACATGATCACCGTCACCTGGAGCTCAAGGCTGCACTACACTCACTTAACCACAAGAGGGCAGCACAACACATCCAATATTTATAGTTTGGGCATATAAAGGGTGTCCCCAAAAAAATTTAACATAATTTTAAAAGCAATGATCTCGAAAATGACTAAGCCTAGCTCAGTGAAATATAACATTTGAAGTGTTGAACATCATAACTGTTATGAAGACAAGGCTGTATTATAGCATTTATTTAGTTAAGGTGCAGTACCAAGCCTGCCGTTTTGTGAGCATATGATAAGTTTAGTGTTTTCATTATTAGTCTGTGCATCAGAGGTGTGTTGTTGTTTCTTATATCTGTTCATTTTTTTAATGTGCGTCCATGAGACAGGTGAGTATTTTGCCATGTTAAATTAGGGTGTTTGATGAGAAAACTGAGTGTTCAAAGTTGTTTTATGTTATTTATGAAATTATTACACATGTTAGCTTCAATGCTAAATTTCACTAAGCTACTCCTCGTTTTATGTGTGTTTTATCATATTATTTAATTCGTGTTATTCTGGTCTTTTGTGCTTCAGGCAGCTTTATGTACGGAAGCCCTGAGAGGCAAGAGAAAAAAAAAAAAAAAGAGGCAGATCATTTGGGCTCTATTTTCTAAGTGATTTTTTTTTTTCACCAACTCAAAAAAAATAAAAAATTCTACAAAAATAAAATAAAATTCTAAAAAAATATATATATTTTTTTTCTCATTTTTATTTTTATTTTTTTCTCTTGTGTGTGTTTTTTTGTTTTTTGTTTTTTTCTCAGAGCCTAAGTTTTCCTGGTGTATTCAGCTCCGTCAAGCCGCCACAGATTTGGCTTATGGCGTTAGGTTCTGGGTTGGGACGTGGGAGACCGGGATTCGAAACTCACCTGGTCCAGGTTGTGTGTTTTTATTCTAGCTGAATACAGTCTTTTCATGAGTTTTATGTTTAATGTTCTCTTTTATGAGTAATATGAGAAGATCGATGCATCACTGATCCGCTGTCATTCTGTGAGAGCGACAGTGGGGATCACTGCTCCAGGCTGGAAGACAGAACGCCGCACTGTCTCTGGTTTTAGCGGGACTGAGGTGCACCCTGACCCGAACAGATATAAAAGGACCAGGACTGAACCAGGACTGTTGGGAGGGGCCCAGAGGTGCATCTGTCGTAGACCGTTGGATGATCGCAGCGTCTCTCTCGCTCTTGCTCTCTCTCGCTCTCTCTCTCTCAAATCCCATCGCAACGAGAACGCGCAAAATCCAAAATGTCTGCTCCCGGGAAACACGGCCGCTCTACGTGTCAGGGCGCACCTCAGTCCCGCTAAAACCAGAGGCAGTGGAGCAGAGCGAATGGGGAGCGACGTGCGCATGGCTGAATGCGACAGGACGACATGCAACTATGTCCACGGTCGCCCCCGGCACGAACAGCAGTATCCCAGTAACCCACACCCAAGGCCTGGCTCATATTTACTACTGCTAAAATGAATGGAAGTCAATGGAAGGCGATGGGTGACCTCGACGAGATGGCGAATGACGAGCGCGTCAGTGCCCGTCACTCACCAATGACCCCACGGTGACGTGGGGAAGGTCGAGAGCTTTCAAAAAACGTATAATATGTTGTTCTAATGTTTTCGGATATATTGTTTTTGCTCGAATTATTATTAGGCCCGAGCGCGTAGGGCCTATTGTTACTGTTCAGCAGTGCGAAGCGCTCTCCCCTTTCCAAACACACTCTCACACTCACATGTCAGTGACTGGTGCCCGCTGACATGGCACGGTGGCATTGCCCGTGGGCCGCGACAGCGGCCTAATTGTTATTGTTCACTCAAAACGTAGGGCGCAATTGACATCATGCACGAAGTGCACAATGTCAAGTGCGCCCGCGAAAACAGAGCGCGAAGCGCTCTCCCCTTATCAAACACTCAGTGCCACTCAATAGTGACACTCATGGCATCCAGTAGTATAGACTGGCATTGCCCGTGGGCTGTGTCAGTGGCATAATTGTAATTCTTCACACCAAAACGTCTCCTGATTTCTCTGGCCTCCCTGATCCAGAGTTTGAACTTGTTGTTTTCCAATCCAATGACCCGAGCTCCGTCCTGATCCAGAATGTGATTATTTATTTTACAATGTCTGATTTGGTGGATTTTAGGTTTTCCTGTTCTTCTTTGTCTTTTCTTGTTCTGGTGAGTCTCCCTGACGTTTCCTTTTCACATTCCTTTTGTTGTTCCTTTTTTCGGATGTGCAATGCCCAGTCAGTTTCCTCTGTGTGTGATTTATTGCATGATTTGCATTGAATTTTATATATGACGCTGCATTTTTGTTCTTGTGGGATTTTATCTTTGGGGTGTACCAGCTGTTGGTGGAATGTGAATGGTTTGCTTCTGTTGTGTTTTTTCATGTCTCTCTGGATGGTTTGGTTGTTCCTCTGATGTTCTGTAGTGTGACTATGTTCTTGTCCTGCTGCCCTGTGTTGGATTGTTGTGTTTTTTTTCGGGGTTTGTTGGTTTTATTGATAACTTGTTGTTTATGGTCCAGCTGGGATATTGACATTGTTTGAGTGTTTGTGTGACGTGTCTCTCCTCTTCCTCCCTGTCGGTCTGTGATAATAATAATAATAATGTTCTTACTACTCAAAGTTTGTGTGCAGTGGGATGTTGGGATGTCCAGAGCAGATATTGGTCAGTGTGTGTGGGTTTCCGGTATATTGTGATTTTAATGCTGCCGTCTGCGATGTGTTGGATTTTAATGTCCAGAAAAGATATGGCTCCGTCTTTCTCCTCCTCATGTGTAAACTGAATGTTTCCTCTGTCGTCTTGTGTGTTCAGATGGTCCGTGAGTTTTTGTGTGTGTCCTTGCTGTATTTTTTCCAGGATGTCATCTACGTAGCGTTTCCAGAAGGTTAAACGGCATTGTGCTGGTGCGATGTTGAAAGCTTTTTGTTCCAAGTCCTCCATGAAAAAACTGCTCATTATTGCAGACAGTGGATCTCCCATAGAGAACCCCTTTCTGTGTGTAAATTATGCTGTTGTATTGGAAATATGTAGATCTGTCCACAAAGTGTAATAGTTGTATGATGTCACTGACTGTTAGATTTGTGCGTTTTTTTTTTTGAGTGTTTTGTTTTCTGAGTTTATCCTTTACTATATGTAGTGTGACATCCACGGGTGTTCCCCCTCCCCCAGACAACAACTCAGCAGCATCATCACCTCCCCCTCCCCAGAGAACAAGTCAGAACCACCTCCCCCTCCCCCAGAGAACAAGTCAGCATCAGCACCTTCCCCTCCCCCAGAGAACAAGTCAGCAGCACCACCTCCCCCAGAGAATGAGTCAGCAACACCACCACCACCTCCCCCAGCGCCACCAGCACACCCATCACCTCCGCTGCCCACAGACCAGCCTGGAGTCCCCCTTGCTACATCTACTCCATCAACGGACTCTTCACTGTCCTTCTCCTCCCCACCTTCACCCATGGCACTGCCCAACCATCTAGAAAGCCTCATCAGATCGGGAATCAAGATGGTTCCTCTCACACCTAACATAGCACGGTCAAGGGTTATGTTGAACTCTCCCCCATACAAAACTGTGCCTGTTTCACCACCAGAGACTCTCTCAGCTCTCCCCTCTAATTTTTCACCCAAACCTCCCCCTACTCCACCTCCTCGGTCCTTACCAGGCCCCTCACCCAAACCTCCCCGTATTCCACCTCCTCGGCCACCTCCTCGGCCCTCACCTGGTCCCTCACCTGGTCACTTACCCAAACTCTCCCCTGCTCGCCCTCCCCCGCCTTTCCCCAGAGCTGTTATCACCAAGAGCTGGACGCACAGGGCCTCTGCTGTCCCAGGACATACAGTCATGATAAAGGTAATATCAGGCTGGGGCCCTGCGATGGAGCTATAGCTCCAGTTACAACACGTAGACGGATTAAAAGAAGGACAGTTAGACTGTCTAATCAGAGACATTTAGTTCACGTTCCCTGTAAGAAGATAACATCCAGTCCTACTGAAACTAATCAGAAACTTGCTGTGCTCAATGTCAGATCTTTATGTAACAAATCATTTCTAATTCATGATTTTATTTCTTCTTTTAATCTTGACTTTATGTTTTTAATGTTTTTAACTGAAACATGGCTTGACAAAAACACAGGTCATGCAGTGCTCGTGGAATCAACCCCTCCCAACTTCAAATTTGAATCTGAAACACGAGCAAATAAAAAGGGTGGAGGAGTGTGTGCATTTTTTAGAGATCATTTGGTTACACACAGGTTGTCATTTGGGGTGTTTTCATCATTTGAGTATGTTTCCTTCAAAATGGAGCTAAAACAATCACCGTCCAGACTCTACATAGTCATATACAAACCTCCTCAGCACTGTCAAAGTTTTATTGATGATTTTACTGAGATGCTTTCAGTTGTTTGCACAGACTTTGATGGTTTAGTCATTACAGGTGATTTTAATGTACATGTGGATAATGTGTGTGACAAAAATGCCAAAGAGCTTAGTGTTGTCCTTGAAACTTTTGGTCTGACTCAGCATGTCAGTGAGCCCACTCACAACAGAGGACACACTCTGGACCTGCTCATTACAAAGGGTGTAAATATTTCAAATGTCAGTGTGGTTGATGTTGCTCTGTCTGATCATTTCTGTGTCTTCTTTGACCGTCTGTTATTCCCAAACCACCGGCTGCTCCTACAGTTGTTCGAAGGAGACACATAAATGATAACACAGGTGCACTGTTCATGGAAATGATACATTTTGAAATTGCCTCATGTTCTAATGTTGATGATGTGTTGAACTCTGTGACTTTGAGTGTTTTGAATGTTCTGGATGCCATCGCCCCGATAAAGGTTAAAGTGGTTAAAGAGGCAAAAAGCTCCGTGGAGGAATGATGACTCAGTCAGGGCACAGAAAAGGGAGTGACGGAAGTCAAACCTCCAGGTTCATTATGAGATTTACAGAGGAACAATGCATATGTACAACTACACTTTGAGTAAAACAAGAGAGAAGTATTTTTCGGACATTATTGGTAATTGCAGTAACAACTCTCGTGTCCTGTTTGCAACAGTGAACAGATTAACAAACCCTCCAGCTCCACTGCCACTAGAACTAATTTCCACATCTAAATGTAATGAGTTTGCAGTTTTCTTTAATGACAAAGTTCAGGGCATCAAAAATGCATCAATTCCACAACACAAATAACAAGCATGAAACCACAGAGACACTTAGAGCTGAATCACTTTGCACCTGTAACTGACAAAACTGTTTTAGAGATCGTTACCAGTCTGAGTTCATCTACTTGCTGCCTGGACATGTTACCCACTAGATTTCTAAAGTCCGTCCTCAACAGTTTTACTTTCACCACTCACTCACATAGTTAACATGTCACTTCAATCTGGAACATTCCCAAATGCGTTGAAAACTGCGGTCATTAAGCCTCTCCTAAAGAAGAGCAGTCTTGATGCCACAGTACTGAACAATTTCAGACCCATCTCAAATCTGCCGTTTTTTGGCAAAGTCCTTGAAAAAGCTGTTTACCAACAGCTTACGAACTTTCTCCAAATGAACAACTCCTTTGATGTTTTCCAGTCAGGTTTTAGAGCCTCCACAGCACTGAGACTGCTCTTATCAAGGTGACAAATGACATCCGCCTGAACACTGATGCAGGCAAAGTCTCAGTCTTGATCCTGTTAGATCTGAGTGCTGCTTTTGACACTGTCGATCATGGATCCTCTTACAGAGACTAGAGGACTGGGTGGGCATCTCTGGTACTGTACTAAACTGGTTCAAGTCCTATCTAGAAGACAGGAAGTATTTTGTTGAAATTGGAAACTGTGTCTCAGATGACATGGCCCTGACCTGTGGGGTGCCTCAGGGGTCAATCCTGGGCCCCCTGTTGTTCAATCTCTACATGCTGCCATTAGGCCAGTTAATAAGCAGCAATAACGTGTCGTACCACAATTATGCAGACGACACTCAGATCTACGTCTCTCTGCAGCAGGAGACTCTGGACCAGTGGAGTCACTTGGTCACTGCATCCAACAGATCAGTGTGTGGATGCAAAACAACTTTCTCCAGCTAAACTCTGACAAGACTGAAGTCATAGTGTTTGGTCCACAGAAACAAAGGGACAGTGTCAGCAGTCACCTCCAGTCTCTCGCTCTAAAACCTTCAAATCAGGCAAGAAATCTAGGGGTAATAATGGACTCAGACTTGAACTTTAACAGTCACATAAAATCAATAACATCTGCAGCTTTTACCATCTAAAAAACATAGCAAAAATCAAAGGTTTACTGTCTAAATCAGACTTGGAGAAATTTATCCATGCATTTGTCTCCAGTAGGTTAGACTACTGTAATGTTCTGCTCACTGGTCTCTCCAAACGAGCTGTGAGACGCTGCAGAACATCCAGAACGCTGCAGCTCGGGTCCTTACTCGAACTAGGAAGTACGAGCACATAAGTCCTGTGCTCAGGTCTCTGCTCTGGCTTCCTGTGCCTCAGAGAATAGACTTTAAAGCAGCTCTGCTTGTGTACAAGTCTCTCCATGGCCGAGCACCAAAGTACATCTGTGACATGTTAGTGTCATATGAACATCTCACACTCTGAGGAGCTCAGGGACGACCTCCTGCTGGTGCCAGAGTCACGACTAAACAAGGGGAGTCAGCGTTTCAGGTTCATGCAGCTAAAACCTGGAACAGTCTGAACATGTGAGACAGACTCTTCTGTGACGCTGTTTAAATCCAGACTCTAAACATTTCTGTTTAACTGTGCAAATAACTGAAAGGTTTTCATTCCGCACTCTTCTCTCCAATTTATGTCTCTCTTTTTTAATTTTAATCTTCATGATTATTTATGTTTTGATTTGTTTTTATTATGATTTTAATGTATTTCTTATTCTGTAAAGCACTTTGAATTACTTTGTGTACGAACTTGTGCTGTACAAATAAACTTGCCTTGCCTTGCCTTTAGTGAAAAGTGAGATGACGTCGTGTGAGATGAGTATTTCGTCCGGTGCTACTGTAATGTTTTTTAGTTCCTGTGCCAGTTGCCCGCAGGAAGTAACAACAACTGACATACGACACGTCACCACCAACACCGGGGACAGTTCTGAAGATGCAGCAGCAGTTGTAACATGTCAACAAGGTAAACACACTTTACTGTTTTGTCTTTAAAAAGAACCCAAGAAGTTAAAGTACAGGAGAAGACAAAATGAACATTTTTGGCTTCACAGTTGTTTCTTTTCATCATTTACTCACCTGAAGTTGTGTTTATTGTAACAGCATAGACCTGACTCAACTCTCACAGATTCAACATCATTTCCACAGAAACTTTCGTACTGAAATTCATGAAAATGAAATTGACACAAAGAAACAGAAGCTTATGTGTGAAATCTCCAGTCAGATTTATTCATGGAGCACATGTTCTAAACAGAACTATCACAGACTACAGCTGTAAAATATGTTCTAAGGTTCTCCACAGCAGAGGGTTCTAAGGTTCTCCACAGCAGAGGGTTCTAAGGTTCTCCACAGCAGAGGGTTCTAAGGTTCTCCATAACAGAGCACATTGAGGGTCTGGCTGCAGTCGCTGGGTTCTATGAGCGGGTCTGATCCTGGGGTTTCATTGAGGACCAGAGCTCCACAGTGAAGTCCAGACTCAGGACACACAGGAAGAGAAGACAGAGAGACAGCGCCCCCATCTGACCAGAACCAAGAACCACCCAGGAACCGCAGACCCACCCACACCTGAGGACACAGGACATGTGTTAGACCTTCTGTCCCTCACTGAGGACACAGGACATGTGTTAGACCTTCTGTCCCTCACTGAGGACACACAGGTATAGCGCCCCCTGTACCTTGCTGGTGGTGGCGTTGTGGGCGTGGCTCAGGACGTACTGCAGCTCGTCAGGCTCCAACCTGAGCATCCTGTAGGAAGAGCTGTAGGACACAGAAACAGACACATCATCACCTGCCAAACACCTGTCTCACTCCTGCGCCTGTCTCACTCCTGCGCCTGTCTCACACCTGCGCCTGTCTCACACCTGCGCCTGTCTCACACCTGCGCCTGTCTCACTCCTGCGCCTGTCTCACACCTGCGCCTGTCTCACTCCTGCGCCTGTCTCACACCTGCGCCTGTCTCACACCTGCGCCTGTCTCACTCCTGCGCCTGTCTCACTCCTGCGCCTGTCTCACACCTGCAGACCATATACGACCATATATACATTATATACAGTCATACACATTAACCGCGTCTCTCAGAAGGCTTCAGCATCTTTGCTTCTCTCTCTCTTTTTACCGTCTCCAACAGTAAAAATACATCTGAGTGTTTTGCATTAGGTCATTGTTTTTGTCAGGTAGAACCAGAGGGAGGACCCACAGTGCAGGACTGCTTTAAAATATTTAAAAACAAATCCAAATAAGTCCAAAAATAGAAACTAAACTGCCATGAAAGAAAAAGACACTGACAAAGACACAAACAACGGCAAATACAATGGACCAACAAAGGGCAGAGAAGAACATCGGGTGTAAAAACACAAAAACACAGGTGAAACACATTAGGGCGGGGAAATCAATCAACAAACAGGAAGTAAAACTCAAACTACAAGCAGACAGGACTAATATCAAAATAAAACACCAAGGGCACACAACACTAAAGGAAAAAATCCACCAAAATAAGCAAAAAACAACAACAACAAAACATGAACCATGACAGTTTTACATTCACATCACTTGTACTTTGCCAGTTCCTCCAGGTTTGAATCACCTTTTTTTCTACTGAAAACAACACAAATAGGGTTTTTTTGTTTGTTTGTTTTTTGTGAAGCTGAGGCTCTGATTTTTTATTTTTTTTGGAGGATAAGCTTTGGAGCTTTAGAGCAGCACACACCTGTGGCTGGAGGGCGTGAGGTTCCTGCAGGTCTCCAGAGCTTCCTCCCAGGCCAGAAGCTCCTGCACCAGGACCACATTGTGTCCGTAGCACAGAACAGGGAAGGCCTCAGAGCAGCTGTGCTCTGACCTGGACTTCGACTGAGACGACACAGCGAAGCACACGTCTGAAGATGGGTCAGGAGCAGGACCTGAAACATCACACACGGGTCAGGACCAGGACCTGAAACATCACATCACACACAGAACTTCAACATCATTGGAATTAAGTTTGACCAAAAGGCCAAAACGTCACTGATAATACTTCCCTGACTCCTCCCCCTCTCCCCTGACACCTCCCCCTTTCCCCTGACTCCTCCCCCTCTCCCCTGACTCCTCCCCCTCTCACTTTGGGCCGTGGTCCTGTAGTCTGAGTGGATCCACACGGGGAAGTTTCGGGTGTAGACTGAAGCCCCTGTGAGCCTGAACATGTAGCTGAGGTGATGATCTGTGCAGAACTTCAGACCTTCAGACCAGGATTTAGTCTCAGGGATGAAATGGAAAAACGGCCACGTCCAGTCCTGACAGAAAACGAAATGCTTCTCACCACATTCATCACCGTGTGCCCTGAGGAGAGAGAGAGGTACAGAGGAGGACAGTGTGTATGTGGTACAGAGGAGGACAGTGTGTGTGTGGTGCAGAGGACAGTGTGTGTGTGGTGCAGAGGAGGACAGTGTGTGTGTGGTACAGAGGAGGACAGTGTGTGTGTGGTACAGAGGAGGACAGTGTGTGTGTGGTACAGAGGAGGACAGTGTGTGTGTGGTACAGAGGACAGTGTGTGTGTGGTACAGAGGAGGACAGTGTGTGTGTGGTACAGAGGAGGACAGTGTGTGTGTGGTACAGAGGAGGACAGTGTGTATGTGGTGCAGAGGACAGTGTGTGTGGTACAGAGGACAGTGTGTGTGGTGTGTGTGTGTGTGACAGAGGAGGACAGTGTGTATGTGTGTGTGCAGAGGAGGACAGTGTGTGTGGTGCAGGAGTGAGGACAGTGTGTGTGTGGTGCAGAGGACAGTGTGTGTGTGTGTGTGTCAGAGGAGGACAGTGTGTGTGTGGTGGTACAGAGGAGGACAGTGTGTATGTGGTGTGGTGCAGAGGACAGTGTGTGTGTGTGGTGCAGAGGAGGACAGTGTGTATGTGGTGCAGAGGACAGTGTGTGTGATGTGGTGCAGAGGAGGACAGTGTGTGTGTGGTACAGAGGAGGACAGTGTGTGTGTGGTACAGAGGAGGAGGACAGTGTGTATGTGGTGCAGAGGACAGAGGACAGTGTGTGTGTGGTACAGAGGACAGTGACAGTGTGTGTGTGGTGCAGAGGACAGTGTGTGTGTGGTGCAGAGGACAGTGTGTGTGTGGTGCAGAGGACAGTGTGTGTGTGTGGTACAGAGGAGGACAGTGTGTGTGTGGTACAGAGGAGGACAGTGTGTGTGTGGTACAGAGGAGGACAGTGTGTGTGTGTACAGTGTGTCAGAGGACAGTGTGTGTGTGTGGTGCAGAGGAGGACAGTGTGTGTGTGGTGCAGAGGACAGTGTGTGTGTGGTGCAGAGGAGGAGTGACAGTGTGTGTGTGGTGTGCAGAGGAGGACAGTGTGTGTGTGGTGCAGAGGAGGACAGTGTGTATGTGGTGCAGAGGACAGTGTGTGTGTGGTACAGAGGAGGACAGTGTGTGTGTGGTGCAGAGCAGAGGACAGTGTGTGTGTGGTGCAGAGGAGGACAGTGTGTGTGTGGTGCAGAGGAGGACAGTGTGTGTGTGGTGCAGAGGAGGACAGTGTGTGTGTGGTGCAGAGGACAGTGTGTGTGTGGTACAGAGGAGGACAGTGTGTGTGTGGTGCAGAGGAGGACAGTGTGTGTGTGGTGTGTGTGTACAGAGGAGGACAGTGTGTGTGTGGTGCAGAGGAGGACAGTGTGTGTGTGGTGCAGAGGAGGACAGTGGTGTGTGTGGTGCAGAGGAGACAGTGTGTGTTGTGGTGCAGAGGACAGTGTGTGTGTGGTACAGAGGAGGACAGTGTGTGTGTGGTGCAGAGGAGGACAGTGTGTGTGTGGTGCAGAGGAGGACAGTGTGTGTGTGGTACAGAGGAGGACATTGGAGATGCTGAGGTCACAGCTTCATCACAGGAGGTGAGTTTAGGGTTTAGGGTTTAGGGTTTAGGGTTTAGGGTTTAGGGTTTAGGGTTTAGAGACCAGGGGCGTCCAAACCTTTTTCATCAAGGGCCACATATCTAAACCCAGATGAAGCAGAGGCTGATCGAGGGCTGTAGACTGGTGCTCAGTCCAGGGAATAATTGAATCTGTGCATGTTTAACATGTTAGAATGAACCATCAGTCTGTATTCACGCTAAGATCCTTAAAACCAAACACTAAATATTACACATTTGCTTTATCAAGGTAGATTTTCAAAAAACTTGCAGTAAAAAATATTTTTTTAATTGATGTAAGGTAATTTGGGCCAATTCACCTGGAAGTCTGAGGGCCAAGAAAAATTTGTCTGAGGGCCACATTTGGTCCCCGGGCCATAGTTTGGACATGCCTGGTTTAGACTTTAGGGTTTAGGGTTTAGTCCAATGAGGTTCATTTGGTCTTCTGATATTTTATGTTCTTCGGTTCTTTTTTTAGACCCAGAGTTTGTTTTCCTCCTCACAGTTTCTTCCTCAGAGTCTCGTGATGTTGCTGTGACGTGTCGCTCAGCTGATTTAAACTGGTGTCATCCTGTCTTCCTACTGGAGGAGTGAGGACAACAGCGCCACCTGCAGTCCCACTTTCTCAGGACAGAATCTCAGGTGTGTGACAGTAAAAAAGCCCCTCGTCCTGGTTTATTGTCCCGTGGGTACGTTTCTGGATTTCGATTGGCTCGTTAATAAAACGGGGTTTGTTGTCTTCTGTCCCAATGATTTCTATAAACCGATGATGATGATAAACCTGCCTCCACCAAGAGGAAGACAACGGCAAAACCTGTTTAAATCAGCGAAGCGACACGTTACAGAAACATCACGAGACTCTGAGGAAGAGCACAGGGAGCAGAACAAACTGTCAGGAGGAAAACAAACTCTGGGTCTGAAAAAAGAACCAAAGAACATAATTTATGGTTTAGGGTTTAGGTTATTATCTGATCCATACCTCACTTCTGAGTACACGAGTTTCCCACAGGCCTCTCCGCTCTCAGGTTCATCTTGGACAAACACATATTGTTTCCACCACCAGTCCGGGTCCCCGCCGCCCGACCCTCCGCCGCCCGACCCGCCGCTGCTCTGTGAAGGAGCTGGAGTCGACATAGACACATTGCTCATGCCGTCTACATTACTCCCATAGACCCACTCCCAGTCTGTCCCCGTCTTCTTCAGGCCGAACCAAGCGCTGTAGGAGTTCATGTTCATCCCAGAAATGTCGCTGTCCGTCCGCACTGTGGCCAGAAAAGCATCGTGTTCCCTAAAAGACAACAGAAGTTACTGTTGTGGAACAAATTGTGTATTTCTTGATGATAAATATTTAATCCATTTGCGAAGCCCGATGAGTTTTTGGAACACAGACAAAGGTTTATTCAGATAGTTCCAGCAGACATGGACAGAGCCTTTGCCTGAGACCCACAGCCTCCCCTCAGTCTCCTCTCTCCAGAGCATCTCCCCCCGAGTGTCTCCTCCAGAGCATCTGAGCTCTGAGTATTTACACAGAAATACAAGTTATTCATATCAAAACAGAATGACTGTTGTTTCACAGACTGGTGTTAAATTTCCATCTGAGGACAGCAAAGACAACACAGAGTTTCTTGGGGGTGGGGACATGTGTGTCTGCTGAACCTTTACACAAGTTAATGATGCTCTGGTCTAAAGTAGAAATCACATTCATTTACACAAAGATGGATTGAGTGAAATCTTTCCACAATATCCACAATATACATTTCCAAAGCCAAAGAAACAGACCACAGACTGAACTGACGTGTTCTGAGTGTGACGTCACCCACAGCGTTCAGCCCCAAATGAAGCTCATCCAGGTCTAATCTGGAGCCCACTTTCATGTTTGGAATTCTGACCATGAGTATCATAGCAACCGAAGAGCCAAGTCATTCTCAGCAATGCTGTCAATCAAACCTGCTGCAACAGACGCCTGATTGGTCGATTATTAATATGTATGGCCAGATTTGGGGACCAACATCTGAAGGTCGGAGTGAGGATCCTGACAGCAGCAGTTACAGAGAGACAGAGCGCTTTTACATAGAAAAGTGAATTGGAACCTGAGCCGATGGAGCCCAATCACGCCCACGAGCACTTCCTGGAGTGGAGCAACTCTGTCCAGAGACAAGTACAGACTATGATCTATGGAGCACAGTCGAAGATTGTACCTCCTGCAGAACTTATGGGCCTCCTCCCATGTTCTGGGTCTGCGGTTGTACCAGTACCACCTCCTGATGACAGAAGACTGCACTGGACCTGAGCCGAGCCAGAGGAAGAGGAGGAAGAGGAGGAAGAGGAGAGGCTGCTGCTCCATCACCTGCTCACAGAAAACACAGAGAAGAGACGTTTACGCTGAGTTCACAGCATCAAAACGGCACCAAACACGTCTCGAGAACCGCTCCTTTCTAACCCAAACGGACACGTGGCCAAAAAAGATTTACAATTATGAGTTTTTATCATATTATTTCAAAAACGACCTTCAGTTACAGATGTGAAATTTTAATCAAGTTTAAACTAGAATGAGATTTTCTGTACAATGTCAGCTGTGAAACTGCACCATAACCTGCTTTACCAGTGAGAAAACTTCTAACTTTCTTCAGTTTCAGAATTATCCAGATTATCACGATTTTTCCAAATCTCTTTGATTAAACCACAAACGTCCAGACCCACATTCCTCATAGACTTTAAACCCAACGCCCCTGAAAACCAGAACAGAACCAAAACAAAACCAGAACAGAACCAAAACAAAACAGAACCAAAACAAAACAGAAAAGAACCAAAACAAAACCAGAACCAAAACAAAACAGAAAAGAACCAAAACAAAACAGAACAGTTCGTCGTCGTGTTCTCCCCTTGGTTCTCCCCTTGGTTCTCCCCTTGGTTCTGTTTGGAGCAGATTGGTCGGGTCTCCTCTGTCTGAAGTGACCCCGACCTGTCTGAGGCTCTGAGGTGGACCTGGGGGAACCTCCCAAAGACCTCCTGTCCT